CCACTGAGTGTCAACACAGCACATGAATCTCAGCTGACATCTGTGTGGAAAAGAGCACTCACAAACAAAAGTAATGTGTCTGAGACAGTGTCCAAAAATGTCTCCCCTGCACACCATAAATTTTGGTTCTCAGATTAAGAAAATAGTAATACCAGGTTACTTTTGCAGGTGGTACATTGCGATTCTTGGCAGAGCTGAATCTTCTTAATGATTCCACTTGCTTAAATGGTATGAAAATTGCAGTGTAGTTATTTCATAGTAATGCTGAATGAAAACATTTGGATGAGGTAACCACAGAGCTCCTCAGCACAACTACCACCAGTTCATTAACTTGTGCAGTCAATAAAGAGCCTCATACCATAGCCCCTGAAGGCAACTACAAATTGACCTTTCGTAAGTAGTTGTTGATTATTACCAGGCACCATTTTGCTATGAATGTTTGAGAAGGAATTAGAGCTGCTCAGAGAAATACATGGCCACACACAAAAGCCCTAAGCCAGCAAGACAAGCCATAAGGATGTAGCAGGAAACACAAAGATTTTCTTACTGCTCCTCCAGTTTTCCATATGACTGTCTGCGGGCATTCACCAGCACTATAAGAGACACTACACGGTGAGACCAGGGTACCTGATACTGTACAAAGTGAACTCAACTCAAGAGAAGGTTAATATTCATAAAACATGGTTAACATTAATTTGATTCATTCCCAGCATAAAGATAATCACATAAATAATAATAAAAAAGAAATCTACAGTACACTGAAATTATACTGCATTTCAGAAAACTATCCTACATATTCATATATTGAAACATCTTTACTAGGTTAAGACACATTAAAATGAAACATTTCCCATTAAAAATGCCAAGAAACGGGGTTTAGTTTTATTGCATGACGTTGCATAAGAAAGTATATTATTGAAAACTGTAAGGCATCATGCAATTATCCATAAGCTGATTCATTACTATTCTCTGAGAGGCAGTTATACACTCTACATTTATAAAACCAGTTTTGAAAAAAGTACATAAAATTTGACATGATGAGCATTAAATATGACCAACAAGTCTGTAGGGCTGAACAGTTAAAAAGTGCATTCCAAACATACTGTGGTGGAAAGTACTTTTAAAAAAGAATGAAAGAAAAAAAAAAGAGGGACTGCAGACAACAGACAAGCTTTTATGTTTTTATAGAACTGAAGACTAGTGTTACAAGATCCAAATTGACAAACTTCCTTAAAATCTGTTTTCAGTCTTTACACTTAAAATTTAACACAATTGATACAATAATAAAAAAAGAAAAATACACTTCCATAACCAAAAATCTACTGAGTTCAAGTTATGTACACTGAATGATCAAATAACAGGTTTGGGATCGTTTGTACTAATGTGATTTTGGCATTAATCAATGTACTGTGCCATCCAACGAAAACCTTCACCATAGCCTTGCCTCTTTAACACACTGCACATGAAAACTTCTAAGGGCCGCGTGTTCAGCTCCTTCACTGGGACGTTCCCCTGAAAGTGAAAGAAGAATGAATATCAGTGAACTGAAATAAAATCACAGCAAGATGGTGATGTTACTGGTGGGTTTGTTGTCTGCCCAGAGAGCAGAGATGGGAGACATTTGTGTTTCGAACTACAACTTCCACAATTCCGTAGCACCAGGGAGGTGGTGGTCAACTGTGGCTGGAAGGAAAGGCTCACAACACTCTCCCCAAAGGAACAGGTGCACAGCTGGATTCACATCTGTCATTTATGGCCCAAGTAGCCTTGGTATCATGAAACATCTTCTGTCAATGAAAACTGAAGCATCAACTATACTTCCTCCCAGACAGAAATAGTCTGGCCTCTGTTATCTATCCCCGACCAAATTTTAGGCTAGATTACTGCAATGCACATGATGTGGGACTGCCAATGAACATGGTTCAGAAACTACAAGTAGTCCAGAACTTAACAGGGTCTGCTAAGACAGATGGGGGAAAGAGTTCACACCTGGCCTATGCTGAAACAATTCTACTGCCTCCAAGTAGTTGGAGGGTTTCTAGCTCAATGCAACATGCTTCAGAGATCTGCTAAATAGCTTAGGACCCAACTTCCTAGAGAAGACCTTCTTCCACATCAGTCTGCCCATTCACTAATATAATCATCCAGGCACCCCAGCCATCTGATATGTAGCAAGTGGCTACCTGAGAGAACACATTCCCAATAGTGGCTCCTTGGCTATGGATTTTTAGTCTCACTTAAGTGCCAGACAAAAATACTGTTTCCTTACTCATTTACAAACTGCTCACATCAGTGGTTTTAGCATAAAATATTTCCAGATGAAGCTCTGATTGTGCAACTGGTCTGCCTGTAATGTGGATTTGGGAATGGGTGGGATCCAGAACAGTAATGTCTCCCATTTGCAAGTTGCAACCTGGCAATTTCTACATTAACAAATTAATCACTGTTTATAATGCTGCAACTTCCCCCAGACATTTGTGTTCTGGAACAGCTTCTTCTCTAAATGCAGAAAAGTAGGTATAAGATGTGGCACGTGTGTCCTGATGAAGCAAGGCAGCAGTTTCACAAGCACAAGAAATACCAGGAAAATCTGCTTTTACTACTCTGAAATGGGAATGCAACTGTGAACAACAGGAATAAGCGATATTTGATTAGAAGAATTCAAATAAGTTTAGTTTTACATTTGAATGCTTAAGTTAATTGCAACAGGCATCACAAGCATTTTTCATCAGAAAACTAGTCAAATTCCAAGAGTAGCACATTGCCTATTCACAATCAAATTCTGTTTAAAAGTCTGCATTATATTAAAATCAGATTTTAGCAAAACCCCCTTGATTCTAATTCAGTATCCAGAAGTTCATCTGTGCTTGCATTTATTTCTTACCAAGCTGCTCTTAAAATGTAGACAGACCTTAAAGTGGTGGGCAAAACACCACATTAATATAGGATTCTTAAGGAACAACAATTACTTGTAACCGAGAAGTAAAACAGACCTCCAAAAGACTTGAAGATGATGACACCACACAACAAAAAATAGAAACAAGAGTATTAATACCTTTCCTGTTGTCTGGCCATACAAACCAAACATCTCTCGTAACCTTTCTTCACTGATAGCTTCTGGTCTGTCAATCTTGTTACCAAGAATTAGGATAGGCACATTAGCAATTGTTTCATCTGTCATTAGTGCCTATGAATGGAGGAGAAAAAATTGACATACTTTAAGTTTCATACAGTTATGTACAAGATCTGGCCATCAAACAAAGGAAACCCCAGAAGTTCACTATGTAAGAGATGGAAAATTGCCATATTTACTGCAAAAGCTCCCTGCTGTACATTAAAAATTTTAAAAGGGCAGTCAAAAAGGAAATAAGAACATTTCATAGAGCATGGGATGGCTTTCCTGCAAGTACAGTGGGGTCTTGACTTACGAACGGCCTGAGTTAAGAACATTTTGACTTAAGAACCACTCTCATAGGAAAATATTGACTTGAGTTACATACTTAGATTTGAGTTACGAACTGAAAAAAACCCACGTGGGAGGCAGGGAAAGTGCAAAATGTGAATTTTCAGTTAACTGTTGGCCAGTGAAAAGGGTGCCTGCCTGCTTCCTGACTCCTCCCAGCGTTTAGAGAGTGGATTGGGAGACAGTCTTCAGACTGCCTGGTACTGGACTGCCTGGACTGTATTTTCCCTGCCTTCCCTGAACCTTTCTTGACCTAAGAAAAAAAGAAACAAAATATCCCCCCTCTAGTGGCCGAAGGCGGAATAGCAGCTTCCCATTAGTTTCTATGGACGGAAAAGAGCAGATACGGATCAAATGGTTCTCAATGCATTCCTATGGGAAATGCAGATTTGACCTGAGAACTTTTTGACTTGAGAACCGCCTTCCAATACGGATTAAGTTCTCAAGTCAAGACCCCACTGTAATTCTACTCTATAAAATTGAAAAAAGCATGAAGGAGGATAGCAGTGATGAGGTCTCATGATGAACTGGGTGGTTCGAGGAGATGAAATAGCCCTGGATGTAGGGATTCCAAACTGCCCTGGAACCACTTGCTTCAGAGTTTCCTACCAGGGGAATCTTAATAACAGAAACTTAGGGTACCTTAAAGACTAATATTTTAATGACACAAGCTTTAATGGATTCCAACGCACTTCCTTAGATGTATGGGTATAGCCTTAGTGGACAAACATTTACACACACGTGGAGGCCAATCACCAAACTGTTGCTGTGAATTGGCCTGTTTAAAATCTGAGACTACGATGGCCAGAATGCAGAATAAAGGATCCAAAACAACTAGCCTGCAATCACAGTGTGCTTGGGCCATCCAAGATTTGAGAGGCACAGTGAACCTCCCTTAAAAACTGACATTTTAGTGAAGAAAGCCATTCAGAAAGCCAAGCATCAGTGCTTCTGTGTTCACATGTATACCCTTTGCTTTTCAATAAGGTTTCCCCTAGACAGAGTACAAGTACACAAGCAATTTGCCTGGTAACGTAACTCAGTACTAGAGTGAGACATAGTGACCAATATGGCCAGAATAACCACTGAACACAAACACAGGGTAGAACCCAAGCCCAAAATGTTGGCATTAAATTGCAGTCTTACACTGCCATATTTGACATATTTGCTAACCTCAGGACACAGTTATGGTGGAGACAAAGCCAGGAACACGACACTTGTGGTTCATGCTCTAGTGACAAGGGCTCCTGCAATGGACAGGCACAGTGTTTTATTCCCCCCACTTCCACCGTCTAAGTGTATCACAATATGTAGGCCTTCCCTCTTTCGCCCGTCCATTGCAGTGTCACATGTTTTGCTTATACTGTATTGTAACAAACGCCAAATACATTATGAACTTACATCAAGCTCTTGCTTAGATTCAGTCAGTCTTTCACGATCTGCACAATCCACCAGAAAAACAATGCCATTGATGGCAGGCAAATAGTTTTTCCACACTCTGCGAGCTAACAGGAGAGAGTTAGAAAGGAACTGTATGAGGAAATTATCGGTTACTCTCATGACTGTATTTGTACAAACTAACAGTATCTCATTAACCAGCAAAAATGGTAAAAACAACATTTGCAGCTATATTTAAAGAGCTCTTTAAAAGCTCACTTCCTTTTGTTCCAAAATCTGAAGTACTGAGTCAAAACCTGAAAGTCATATTTTGACTACAGAAAACAGCCTTAATATCCCAAAATACACTTCTAAGCTGGTGCTATAATAGTAGCATCCTGTCAAGCTGATTCTGGCTTATGGTGACCCTTTTCAGCGGTTTCCAGGTAGAGAAGACTCAGAAGTGGTTTACCATTCCCCTTCTGGGGGCAGCTCTGGGACTGTGCAGCTTGCCCAAGGCCACACAATTTGGCCCTTTTCCTAAGAACTACAGTGGGGAATTGAACTCCCAACCTTTGGCTCCGCAGCCAAACACCTAAACCACTAAGCTATCCAGGCCACAAGCTAGATTGATATGACAATCATCCCGCAGCTTTTAAAAAGCAATTATTAAATTCAAAGGTGAAAATTTGAAAAAAAGCAACTGTTCAGCCACAATTAAGAAAATATCAGGCAAAATCCAACAAAACAAAACAAAACAAAACAAAAAAACAAAAGACGACAAAAACGTGTGGAACCTTAAAGACTAACATACACTTTAATATAAGCTTTTGTGGACATGAATATAGATTCTAAAATCTTACGCTATTAACCAAACAAATACTAGATGATTCCTTTGCCAGCATTTAATGCATTCTAGAAAATGCTGACATTGATCTACTGGATGCCCAGTGTCCAAGCTGAAGAATGAAAAACTTTAATCCATATGATTTAAGTTATTTGTTTACATGTAACGTGGTGGCGCTGTGGGCTAAACCGCAGAAGCCTGTGCTGCAGGGTCAGAAGACCAAGCAGTCGTAAGATTGAATCCACGCGACGGAGTGAGTGCCCGTCGCTTGTCCCAGCTCCCGCCAACCTAGCGGTTCGAAAGCATGTAAATGCAAGTAGATCAATAGGGACCACCTTGGTAGGGAGGTAACAGCGTTCCGTGTCTAAGTCGCACTGGCCATGTGACCACGGAAGATTGTCTTCAGACAAAACGCTGGCTCTATGGCTTGGAAACGGGGATGAGCACTGCCCCCTAGAGTCGAACACGACTGGACAAAAATTGTCAAGGGGAACCTTTACCTTTACCTTTACCTAACCTTCTTTTAACTGTAATAGAGCTACATAATTTCTCTGTCAAAACTTGCCCCTGCAAAGACCAACACTGTCTAAAGATTCACAATTGTTTCTACTATTAAATTGAGAAAGTGCTGCAATTATGGTGAAGTGTTTACAATACTTAATATGGTATAATAAGTTGCTTTTTTCCTACTATGCACAGATACGGTGGCTTAAGCATCCTGTTGTAATTCATTATTATGTCTGCATCTTATGTTACACTCGACAAGATATTTGCATTTTTACATGAGATTACTTTCAAATTATAATGAAGTTAGGAAGATTTTTCAGAACTAAGGAAATATATATACCTGTAATAGAGTCACTTTTGTCATACAACAAAATTATTAAAATGTTAACCCAACTTACTGTAATAAGAAAAAAAATTTCATGCCACTTACCTTGGGCATGTCCACCTAGATCAAAAGTTGTGAAAGTCATACCAGCAATTGTCAGCTCTTCTGAAGCTGCAGAAACAGAAAATTAATATTTTTTTCACAACAGTTTTGCAGAAATTGTTATTTTATACTGCTGGGTTCAAACAGTTATCACACTGACAGAAATTCATATTTACTTACATTATCAGTTTTGTCACTTTGTCTTGGTTTAATCCAGAGAATCTAGCACTGAATTTATTAGTATACAGTACTTGACTCTAAGAATGCCCTTTTAAAATTCTATCAAATTCTACTGATGTCAGTGGGACCTCTCAAGATAGGCTGCATAAAATAGCAGTCACTGATGTTTACTGCCCAAATTAGGTTATGCTGGTTTAACTGCTGGCTGGATTGGGTTATTTGCCACCTTTCTTCCCATAAGAGACACAACGTGGCTCATAATTAAAACTATACAATGATCAACAGTTTTACAATGCCTACAAATGATATTAAAAATAATTAAACATTTATCAGCAGGACATAATCTGCCCACCTCCTTCATGGATTCCTGCCTTGTTGTGGCGAAGGGCTTGAGTAATTCGGAGAAGCTATGGGCTATGCCGTGCAGGGCCACCCAAGACGGACAGGACATAGTGAAGAGTTCTGACTAAATGCGATCCACCTGGAACAAGAACTGGCAAGCCATTCCAGTATCTTTGCCAAGAAAACTCCATGGACAGAAACAAAAGGCTAAAAGATATGACGCTGGAAGATGAGCCCCTCAGGACGGAAGGCATCCAACATGCTACTGAGGAAGAGCGGAGGAAAAGTACATGTAGCTCCAGAGCTAATGAAGTGGTTGGGCCAAAGCCAAAAGGATGCTCAGCTGCGCATGCGCCTGGAAGTGAAAGGAAAGTCCGATGCTGCAAAGAAAAATATTGCATAGGAACCTAGAATGTAAGATCTATGAACCTTGGGAAACTGGATGTGGTCAAACAGGATATGGCAAGAATAAACACTGACATCATGGGCGTCAGTGAACTAAAATGGATGGGAATGGGCAAATTTAATTCAGACGATTATCATATCTACTACTGTGGGCAAGAATCCCATACAAGAAATGGAGTAGCCCTCGTAGCCGCCCAAAGTGGTCGACCAGACCAGATAGGCGGGATATAAATCAATCAATCAATCAATCAATCAATCAATCAATCAATCAATAAAATGCTGGACTGGATTAATCCAGAATTAAGATTGCTAGAAGAAATATCAACCTCAGGTATGCAGATGATACCACTCTGATGGCAGAAAGTGAGGAGGAATTAAAGAATCTCTTAATGAGGGTGAAAGAGGAGAGCGCAAAAAAAAACCAAAAACTAAGATCATGGCCACTGGTCCCATCACCTCCTGGCAAATAGAAGATAAGGAAGTGGTGACAAATTTTACCTTCTTGGGCTCTATGATAACTGCAGATGGAGACAGCAGCCATGAAATTAAAAGACACCTGCTTCTTGGGAGAAAAGTGATGACAAACCTAGATAGCATCTTAAAAAGCAGAGACATTACCTTGCCAACCAAGGTCCGCATAGTCAAAGCTATGGTTTTTCCAGTAGCGATGTATGGAGGTGAGAGCTGAACCATAAAGAAAGCTGACCGCCGAAGAATTGATGATTTGAATTGTGGTGCTGGAGGAGATTCTTGAGAGTCTCCCTTACTGCAAGGAGATCAAACCTATCCATTCTGAAGGAAATCAACCCTCAGTGCTCACTGGAAGGACAGATCCTGAAGCTGAGGCTCCAGTACTTTGGCCATCTCATGAGAAGAGAAGACTCCTTGGAAAAGACCCTGATGTTGGGAAAGTGTGAGGGCCAGAGGAGACGGGAACGACAGAGGATGAGATGGTTGGACAGTGTCATCGAAGCTACCAACATGAATTTGACCAAACTCCGGGAGGCAGTGGAAGACAGGAGGGCCTGGCATGCTCTGGTCCATGGGGTCACGAAGAGTCGGACACAACTTAACGACTAAACAGCAACAACAATAATCTGGCTCTACTGAAAAATGATTAGGATTTGTTTAAAGCTGGAGCCCTACACTTGCTTACATAGAAATGCTGGAGGCTGCCATTGATTCCCAATGGGAAGGAAGTCCTACTTAACCCAAATGGACCTAATCTGAGTAGACATGTAGAGAACTGCACTGTCTGTTTCAATAAAATCAATGTGGTTTGTCCGAGGAGTGTTATAGATGCACTGCTACACTACAAAGTCACCTTGTATTCTATGCAGATTGTTAGTTTGTCACTGTGTTGCTGAATACCTGGAGTCGGCAATCTTATGAGGGAAATCTCCCAGTCTCAGTGGTGAGTTGCAGCACATAAAAGGAAAGAAGGACCAAAAGAAGACAGCTGCCACGTGTGAACAACACAGAGACGTTGACACCATCTCTTTGTACAAGGAAACTGGATAGCCAAAACCAACTGTGACAATACTCTCAGAACATTCTAGATGTCGTATCCACGTACGTGGAAGAAAATACAAAACTAACCACGACAGAACTACTGTGGGATCCTGCTGGCATTTCTAAAATCTGTTAAAACCAAAAATCTGTTAAAACCAATGTTTCCCAAAACAGAGTCACCAGACACATGATCTCAAAATGCAGTCACAATAGCCATAACTATATTTCCTCATAGAACCCTTAATCTAAGACTATCTTTACCTGGCGCTGTTCCTATCTGTACAGTCACAAGAAAATAAGATGCAGGGAAACACTGGAAGCCTTTCTGGCTCTCAAGATTGTCAGTGGAGGCCCTCCTCTCAGTCCCGCTGCCAAGAGGCGGTACTCCTAATCTGATGGGGACATGAGAGAGGACCTTCTCTGTGGCAGCTCACAGCTTGTGGAATGGTCTCCCTTGGGAGATCGGGCTGGCCCCCCTCCCTTTTCCCCTTCCACTAACAGTTGAAGACCCACCTCTTCAGGCAGGCTTTTAACAATCATAACCGAGTCCCTGGATACCATTTTTAGTTGAGTTTTTAAACGTTTTAAATGTTTTTACTCATTCAATGCATTTTAATTGCTCTTATAGTTTAACTGTTTTTAATGTAAACTAATTTTTTAAATTCTACTTCGTGAGCTGCCTTGAGTCTCCTGACTGGAAGAAAGGTGGCCTATAAACAAGACAAATAAATAAACAAGTAAGAAAGAAAGAAAGATAAAGTGCTGACAAGCGACTCTAGTGCTACCCTGATTAAATTTATTGTGTCCTGGGAAGCACTGGCATGGCGGTAGCCACAAGCAAAATAGAGAGGTGATGAGAGAGACATCAACATCCTCCTGGGATCCAATGGAGCAAAAGGGTCCACTGGTGCAATGAACAAGCACACTGTGCCGGAAGGTATCTGCAGACCTTCAGCTTCTGCAGTCTCAAGAAGGTTCTCATGTAACAGCACTGGAAAAAACTGAGCTTTGTACCCTGTGTGAGCCCCATCACACTAGAACAAAGCCCACCCCATGTTGTACTTCCTTCTCCACAAACTGCTTTGTGGCATAAAAATTAATGAAGCATGCCTGGGCTTTGAAGCAGCCAGGAACACTGACTTACTTGGATGTAGCGTGGGGACATGTTGTCCCAATCTGTCATCTTTAAGCATGTGCAGGAGGGTAGTTTTCCCGGCATTATCCAATCCAAGGAATACGAGTTTACCAGTTTTCTTGTACAGTCCTGAAAAAAGGATACAACTATTTTAGTGAATAAGGATCTATTCTCACAATTGTACCTTCGGAATAGTACAGATGATCCCAAGATTTAGTACACCTTCAAACATTTAGGATGGAGCATTCAAATTCTTATATTACTATATGAGAACAAAACATCTTCCATATGCAAATACAGGTAAGCAAATATTCAAGACCAGAGTACTTTTAAAGTATACAAGGCAATGGCTGAAATCGAGAATAGATGCCAACCATAGTCTCTCAAACCTTCATTCATCTGCTATAACATGGAGAAGTATGCAAAAAGCTCCATTGGAGGCAGGCACAGGCAACACATGGTCCTCCAGCTCAGCAGGACAGCAACTTCCATAATCCTTCACCACTGACGTCGATGCTGGAAAGGCCAGCTGGGTGTTATAATCAGAGTAGATGAAGTTGAGTTAGAAGAGGAATAGGGAACCTGTGGTCCTCCAGATATCGATGAGCTACCCTACTTCCATCTTCACTCACTAGCAGACAGCTGTCTGTGTTCAAAGAGAAATGGAGTCCAACAATTCCTAGAGAGCCATAGGTTCCTCACTGCATGGACAAGATAGTCAAGTAGTCTGGCCTGGAACGAGACAGCCTCCTATGTTTCTGCCTGGCAAAAACAATCACTGCCACATCTCTGATGAACTAGTGAAATTACTAAACTGATTAGCAAAACAACTTCACATAAGCTCTTGTAGATAGTCTACCTCATTTACAAAGCACTAGAATAATTCAAATTGGGTTACCATTTCATGCAGGGAATTATTTTAGCATGGTTAATATTCTAATGATTTAGTTTTGTAAGACACATTCTTCTTTCTAAATATTTACAAACAGAGTGTGTAAAATTTTAATGGACCAAGGTAGCAATCATATGTATCTTTGAGAAAAAGCTCCCAACATAGTGGGACCTACTTCTGAGTAAATAAGAATAGGATTGAAATTACAGATGGGGATATTCAGTATCTCTATCCCTAGGTGCACCTAATGCAGGTCCGGTCCTTAGAACAGGCTTGCCCATTCACGTGCTGCCACCCTCTCACTCTTTCCACCAATAGCAGAAGTAGTTCTGTCATCTCCTGGCTCGGCTGGTCACTCCAGGCAGGGGGCGGGAAGACAAGTCTCTCTGCATGGCTGCTGAGTGGCCAGAAGAGCAGCGAGACAGCAGAGCTACTTCTCCAACTGATGAGAAGAACAGGAGGCTGGTGGTGTGGCGGCACATAAGTGGATGGGTTATTTCCAAGGGCTGGACCCAAATTAGGTGCACTTAGGGTGGGGATATTTGTATTCATTTATGAATACTGTACAAATATTCCCATCTCTAATTGGGATAGTCACCCAGATTCTTTTTAGGTGAAAGTGCCAGTATCCAAGTTCAGATTATACATATTATTCTGCTCAAATTCATAACACTGAAGAGCAGGAAGAGACCCCAAACATCATCTTGTCCAGTACCTGGCAATGTAGGAACCAAAGCTTCCCTAACAGATGATTGTTTAAAAACCTCCAACTATGGAGTCCATCACCTTCTGCCATGGTCTTTTCCACATCAAAACTCTTTAGACTCTTCATAATGTTTAACTGGAATCTCCTTTCTTGTAATCTGAATCCACTGAAAGGGTCCTGCCCTCTGGAGCTACAGGAAACAAGCTTGTTCCCTCTTCCACATGACAGCCCTTTAGATATTTGAAGATGGCTATCATATCACCTCTCAGTGTGCCCTTCTCCAGGGTAAACACATCCAACTCCTTCAACTATTCCTTACACAGCTTGTTGATATATTTCTTAAACTGCTGTGCTCAAAACTGAACATAGTATTCCAAGTGATGTCTGACCAAAACAGAATAGAGCGGTACTATCACTTTCCTTTACTGTGAACATTATACTTCTGTTGATGGAGTTTAGAACTGCATTAGCTTTTAGCTGTTGTTATTGCTAATCATATGTTTGACTCATGTTTTTGTTGTAATCTACTCTTTACACAAACTAGTGTTGACTTTTTTATCCTATATTTGTATATCTGATTTTTCCTGCCTTGATGTAGTTTTACATTATCTCTTGTTGAAATTCATTTTCTTCATTTTGGCTCAGCTCTACAGCATGTTACAGTCATTTTAAAATCCTGATTCTGTTTTCAGAGGTATTAGCTAACTTTCCTATCTGGTGGAAACTTCATGAGCATTCTATCTGTTCATCATCTAAATTATTTATAAACATGTTGAATAACACTAGATCCAGAATTCAGTAGCATCCAATTTTGACTTTTGTTTTCTAGTATAACCAAAATAAATAAATAAACAAAAAAAACCCAAACCATTGGAAAGTACTCAAGTACTATTGTTGTTGTTTATTCATTAAGTCATGTCCGACTCTTTGTGACCCCATGGACCAGAGCACACCAGGCCCTCCTGTCTTCCACTGCCTCCCAGAGTTTGGTCAAATTCTTGTTGAGTATTATTAACCAACTGCAAATTCATCCACCAGTAGCATTGTCTAGCCCACATTTTACCAGCTTCTGGCCTCAAGAATATTACAGGAGAACTTGTTAAAAACCTTAATGAAATCAATATGAACTACATCCACAGCATTCCCCTGATTTATCAACCCTGTAATCCTCACAGAGAAAGGCTGTAAGACAGAGGCAAAGTGGTGGTTTTGCCTCTCCTTCCATTTCTTACTCATGTCTCTTTGGATCTTTGCTCATATAACAGTTCCTTATGCAGCCAGTTTCTTTAGATGCCACCCACTTTTCTTCCTTGTTGGAACGATTTGCAATATGCCTTTAATATCTCATCTTTAAGAAACTTAATTTACTAGTAAATAGAAAAATACATCATTGCTTGTAGAACTTAAAAAAGAATTATCTTGCATAAGATATGCCCAAAACAAAACTGCAGGTCACAATTATCTGAAGGACAAAGTCCGTCATTGCTTAAGCATAGTATGAAACAAAGGTGCCTTTATTGCTTCCAAACTGGACAACGTAGGCAATGGGCAAATGGCCCATCAGAAGCCATTTGCAGGCAGTTCAGTGAGAATAATCACATTCTACAAGAATCAGTGATATTTTCATTATATTAGAAAAGGCCTGTTCTGCTGCTTGGGAAACCTGAAACAAAGTACACTGACATTAAAACAACATCTCATTCCTACGTACAAAGTCTGCTTTGACATTTTTGTTTCCTAACAGTGTTATTATTTGTTATTATTAATGCCTAGTTCAAAATTATTTTTATAATTTAGAACCTAGTTTATAAAGCCAGGAGACAGATTATAGCGGGCACATCTTTAGCAGCAGTGATGGACACCATTTTATATTTTTGCATTAAAGATTTTCATTTCTCACACAAAGAAGCAAAACAAATCCTAGAACATGATGTCATAGGAACCCCATATATTTGTAGCTCACCATTCCTAGCAAATAAACTTGCTAGGAAGAAGCATGTTTATTTATTTTATTAGTGTAAAGAATAATAGGACAGGGGAAAACAGGATACATTATTAAAGACTGACTGCATAGCATAACAACATGTGAAGGAAAATTGACCCATGGATGATGAGGTGGATTACTCCAAGCATGTGCTGTGATGGTAAAGGAAGAAGACAACTTTTTTTTTTGCAAATCCAAAAAATATGTAGAGTAGAGAAGATATTATGAAGTCATATGATCACATTAGTGAATTCCTATCAAGTATCATTAGAGAAAACTGCAACACAATTAGAGCCGGAAACTAACATTAGAAACAGCCCATGACTGGAAGAGAGAAATTCTTAATGAACATGAGCATCTGATTCACAGCATGAAGTGCTCTCATCTCCTGGTCATATGGAAAAGACCTCTTTGACAATCAGATACTTTATCTGTGTATCTTCTGTCCTGTTACAGCTGTGCAGTAGTCCATTACAAACATATTCACATTATTAAATCTATTTTAGTAATGTATTTTCACACTCAGCACAATGATATCTCAAGTACTATATATGTAGCCTGACATCAAAATATATGAATTTCATTTTGAACCAGGAAATTACAAGTTGATACGAGAAAAATAACTTATATTAGTGTGATGTGCCTCAATAAGGACTAATGCTATGTTTTTGAAAGGAGAAAAAAAGGATTGAGATATTTTGTAAAAACAGCCACAGGCTCCTCTGAATTTAAATCATAAATCTCAACAAACTTGTACAAACATAAAGGAAAATTGTAAGTTGGAACTATATGAAAATTGTCTACAGAAGAATTGAAATGCAGAATTGTGGAAATCTTACCTAAAAACTGCAGTACACTACTGAAACCACTGTAAATCCAATCAAATATAAAGGACATGTCCAAATCTTACAGGTTCTGAAAGAAAGCAGAAAGAAATTACTTGTATCAAATAGCACTATTATTCTGCTGAAACATTACATAGATTTGGCATGCGAGAAAGAACTAATATATCTACAACTGTATTACTTTACTTGTTCTTTGGCAAAGCCAACAACAGTATGATTGACTGGGATCTTAAATCCTAGGCCAAAGATGTTCATTTTTTAAAAAAGAGAGCTAAAGCCACATTCCAAAGTACCATAGAACCAGCTCTTCACGTCCAGCAGGATTATAGCAGAGGTTACAAGAGCTGTATGGCCTCTGAAGGTAGGAGGCAATGAGGGTGGAGCCCGAAGTTTGTTCCCATTTCCACATCACTTAAAAAGACACTTCAGTCATCTTCCACAAGGGTGCAAGAGTGTTCACAGCCAGACCAGCGTGTTCCCTCTTCTCTTCCATTCAGTGCTAAGTCACAGCAAGGATGCTGCCAATTAGACAACTTTGACTGGCTGTATGGTGCAATGACAACCCCACGGCTAAGTGACCCACAACCAGATGGAGGTAAGGATATTGTGATAAAAGATAATTTTAAAAAATTTAAATGGCAGAAATATTCAATGTGTTGCAATAATAGTAACTAATCAACATTATGAACATATTGCTATACACGATCAGGTACTGCAGAGTCATCACTAAAGGGCAGATACTTTAAACATACTAAGATAACATCACTTATGTGTGGGGGGGGAGGTTTTAGTATTTGCAGGTCAGGAAGCCTACGGGACTTAAAAGATACCTATCTATCAGCCTGCGTAAGAGGAAGTCCAGAAGCACAGCAATATCCCTTTCTTCCTGGAACTTTCCGGCATTAACAGTGAAACAACAGAAAAACAGTGGCGAAAATCATGTTGGGAAAACCCATGCATATCAGGGCAACCACAGAGCAGTTTTTTTTTCCTCATGGCTTGCTGTCCACTGTGCAAACAAGCAAGAAAGTAGGTACACGATTGCTGAACTGAAGAAGATGAGGAGTACAAGAGCTGGCTGGCAATACAGATGGGATCGCTTGCAGAATTGCCTACTTGTGCAACATGGGGCCAGCAAGATTCAGGTCACTAGGCAAACACTGCTCATCGGCATGAAGAAGGGAAATTACTTGTCTGAAAACCATCACTGCCAGGGGCCTCAGCCTGTCTGTTGGTTCAGGGATGTCAAAATGTCCACTTGTTCTGCTCATTGTAAGGAAAACAATGAGGCTGGCATAACCAACAGAACATTTTTATGCAACTATTTACACATTGAGCCATATTGGCTGTTATTAGTCTTTCCCCCCTCCATCACTCATCTCTTAGTCCTTGCCACTTCACTCTGATGTGTCATGGCCTCCAACAAACAGGGGCAGCGGCATTTCTCCACCCTCTAAAGTTCTTGAGGAATAGCTCCAAGGGAATTACTGTGCCCTCTTTTAAGCCCTTCTCTGTCTGGTGCAGTCTGTTGAATTCTTTCTAACACTGCCAAAGCCTCAGCTGGGTGAGTGTCAGACTGGTCACTGCTGATTGGGGCTTGCTGCTTTCAGGGAGTACCAGTAAGTCATTGGGGCAACACACTTTTGGCTCAGACTCTTCCAATATAAACCAAAGCGCGTGACTCTTGCTGCCTTGTGGAATGTTAAGTCTTGGAGCTGGACAGTCAGTGCCAACTCCAAGTGCCCACAAGGTAAGAAGAAACAGCCTGGTGGTTAGCTCCTTTTCTCTATTCTTGGGCATCTGCCCATTCTTCAGCTCTGCTTTCCTCTACGTCTCCTTCCTCAGCAATCCTGGGCTCCATTCTCATAGATGTCTCAGTTCTTTCTCTTTTTATTTTTTTATAGTCTCTTTTCAATAGGACCTCCTGCCGCCAGAGTGAGACCTTCCTTCCTTTTTCCCCTTCTTGCCTTTCAATATTGTAGTCGCCATCTTAACCACTGGAGCAATTGACACCACCCCTGGGTATTGCTCTGGCAAAGAATACTACCCACAGCCTCCCAACATCCCTTGGCTGAGACCAGACGGGTCGAGTACTCTTCCCATGGGGGCCAATGCCCCCACTTTCTATTTTTATCACAATGAATACCAATTTGGAACACAGTGATGAAAGTAGCTGATAGGAAAATAAAACTAGCTTACCATCTAGTGACATGTTCATGGAAAGAAGCAGCAGATTGAAGAAGGTGGACCCAAGCTATCTTTACAAGCATGTCCACGTTCCTTACCACTACACTATGCTACTTCCAATTAAATGAACCTCTCTTCATCTAGGTAAAATGTGCATTTGCCTAACGATTAAGTTATATTGGTGGTTATTCTAGATAAGTCTTCCTTCCTCCCTCCCTCCCTCCCTCCCTCTCTCCCTTTATACCCTGCCCATCTAGACCAAAGTCTACTCTAGGCAGCTAACAACAAAACATAAAAGTAAAAGCAGTATAAAATAAAAAACAACAGTCATAATATAATTCAAGATGGCAAAGACTAATTAGGTGATCATTCTTCTCTAATCTCCTTGGATGATACAGAAGATACAGTTAGAGCTTTAGATGTGTATCCTTAATAGGCCAGAATGGATGGAAATACTAGGCAGGCAGAAGGACATCAGTTCAAAGCCTTGTATGATATGAAAACATGGCCAAATATATCCAAGGCCTGAGAGCTCCACATTCATCTTTGTGAGAGGACAATCAACATCTTTAACAGCAGCATAAAAGAAACCTGAATCTCTGCTATTACCTAGTACTGTACCAAAAATGATACTGCAACACAGAAATGGCTGTTTGCTCTTTTGAAGTGTGTTAGAAGCTGTATTGTCTGCATCCCAAGCATACAACTCTTAGTTTTGTCTTCTGAGAATGCTCAGCATTGCGACCATGCACAACAGCATGTCTGACAGGAGAAGTAAACTGCTTCTGACTTGCAGCTTTGTATTACACACATTTCTTGAACCCACTGAGTGTCTTTAAATCACTGCAGACTATAACTAGAATGGAGATAAATTGCAAATATGTATAGAATAGTCTTTGCATTTACATTATACTCTAAATTACTATACAGTAAAAGAATAATGCAAACGTGTCAATCACATCTACTCACTCCTGGTGATGCCACATAGAGTTGCAAGGCCAATATACATTCCAGGAGTACTCTTCCCCCTTGCCCCATAATCAGTAGCTCCTGTTACCTATGACATTATATTATTATGTCATATAGTTTTGTTTCTTCTCCTTATCACTTCATATCTGATGATATGAAATATCATGATGTTGAGACACAGTTGACAGATTGCAAACAAATAAGAGAAAGAGAGAGAGAGAGACGTGAGAATATACCACAGGGAGGCTGTGTAAATTGCCACCTTGTGTCTACTTGAACATGCTGACTGGACCTTATGCTAGTCAGAAATATTCCCTTTAGCCTACTGGCCCTTCTCTAACAGGTTACTTCAGTTTTAGAATAACAGGAGACTAGCAGGTAGGTCCATAATAGCTATCAGCCATAATACTGTATCCCAGTTGTCTCATAAACAGTACGCTGGAAAGACTCACAACCTAAATAGAAGGAACAGGACCCATTTACAACACTTCCTTTCCTGCTCATTTGAAAGCAAATAACAATAATCACTGGTAATCTGGCTGAATCAAAGCTGAAAAGCTCTAGATAATTATAGTCATGGCTATGATTGATCTTCCCTAGATTAAAAAGCTACTACAGTACTTATTACAAAAAAAAAATCATAGAACTTTCGATAGGAAAGCCAAGACGTGAAGGTCAGCAAATAAAAACTAAATAAAGAACATCAGAGTATGTGCTGTTAACATCTGCACTTTTGTGCAGAAAAAACTAAGTCAGATTCAGAAAAAGCTTTCATTGACTTCAGTGGGACTACATGTACAAAGGATCATGGCATAAAAGGGTAGGGCGAATTGCAAAACTGATCAGATACAAGACATCTTATGAAAGAAAACATTAAGGACAGAACAGACTCATCACATGCATTCTACATTACACAACACCATGTGTAAAACAGCGGCCACTTGCACGTCTGAAGAGCAAAGGTCAAGAACAAGCAAACACAGCAGTACATACACGTCACCTAATTTATTTATTGCTTGAACAAAATTCCAACCAGGAAAAGCTGCCACGAGAGTTAGAAAACCTACCTACTCAAGTAACATACAAATCAGCACACACGGCATGATACAAAATAACTACTCAGATTTCAGTGGTGAAAATAACTTCTAAAAGCTAGGTCATACTGGACTGGAGGGATCATTTCAGGTTAAGCACAAGGGCCAAAGCAACAGGGACCACTGATGTTTATTAAAAAATGACACTGTTGGTGGCAAAAATCCTGTTGGTGATTTACATGTGCATAAGTTAAATTGTATATCTCATCACAGCGAATTGCTCTTAACAAATGCAGTACCAGTTACAGTTGCCTGTGCTATTCAACTGTGTGCGCAACTTATATAACATGACCAGTGCCTTCTTATTTCATGACAATTTGCAGCACTGAGTTATGCAATTTACTTATGCATGTATCAATCACCAATAGAATTCTGGCCAATATATAGGATCTAAATATACCATGGAAGAGGGAGACAGCTGATGACATACTCAGCAGGAAAAAAAAGTATAAACATTTGAATCTAACAGTTCATGTATATGTTTATTGTTAAACAGGAGGCATGGCGTATTAGAAAATCTTGAAACTTTATATTGAAGAAGGATTGCTAGTTTAATAATCACCACTGAAGCGTCCTTCACATTGCAAATAGGTCAGCAACCTGCAAAATATGGATGGGACCAAGACGATAACTCCCCAAATCCCACGTTACATCAACATACCTAATAATGGACATCAGTATAATTAACTTACTAATATTTAGTAAGTGTCCCATAGGTAACAGACAGTGAAATATGAGATAACACCCTCTTTTAAAGTTCTATAAACAGGCTTTTATATGACATCACCCAGCAAAATTCTGGATCTTACTCACCAGTAGC